CATTAAAATCAATCCAGTAGTCTTCGAGAAATCGTGTGCACAAAATTAGATGGTCAGAAAAATAATAATAAGAAGAAGAAACAGTAGAATCACTTTTAAGTCTTCCCTGAAGACGAAAGACCTTAATAATAATAAGAAACTGTAGAATCACTATAAGGACTTCCATGAAGACGGAAGACCTTAAAAAAAGGTGGATGATTTGTAGTGTTTAACAGGGTAGAAATAAACAAATAGCCATTTTTCCTCATCAAAGAGGTTCATTCTGCACTCATATCAAATATGTATTACAATAGCACATTAACTGTAACTTGACAACTTCTATTTAGTAATAAACATAACGTGAATAATTTATAAGTTGATAAAAAAAAAATCAGAAATAAACGTATGTACAACGTTTTTGTACTAAGAACCTGCAAATATGTGTATTAAATCTGTAGATAGACTTATAGCTCCATAAATATAAAAAAAAATCTCCAATAACAAAAATGTCGGAGGAAAAAGTGGGAAAATGATTTAAAAAAAAAAAAAAATCTGATAGCATACAATGGTCACGTGACCGCGACTTTTCTTAAATCATTTGTTCCTTACCTGGCTTCAGCGACAAACTCTGAAAAAATAGATATCCCATGCACTACTAGGGTTGTTGATTTTTATTTCTGTAAAGTTTCATGAAGATTTTGAAAGCCATCTACGAGAACACTCGAGTACAAAACCAAGGTGAACCAAAATATAACTTCTTATCGGTGCCTAAAGCGACGGACCTGCTCCAATTTTTTTGCGGAAAACAATTTGATTCAGTAGAAGAAATATGAAATATACCTTCAAAGTTTCCAAAAGATTGCTAGCATAGTTACTGAGAAAAATAGAAATTAAAGAATTTTCACTTTTCGTATGTTTCCATGGCAACGGTAGAAATGTAGAAAATTTTGAATGTTGACTCCACACTTAGAGTTTCTAATTATAATTTCTGTAAAGTTTCATCAAGATTGCCAAACCACCTCTAAGGATATATGTGGGCATACCTTTTTTTTCTATGCTAACTGTGTGCGGCCAATTCCAGGTTTAAAAAAAAGAAAGAAAGAAAGAAAGAAATCACTTGACACAATGCAAGGAATCAAGCATTAAAGTTTCAAAATGATTGCTTGAGCAGTTACTGAGAAAATCGAAGTTAAAGAATTTTCACTTTTCCTCTCTTTCCATGGCAACAATTGAAAGTTTGAAAATTTTAAATGCGAATAACACAGCTACAATTACTGATAATCATTTCTATAAAGTTTTATGATGAATGTTCAAGGCACCAGAGAGGACACTCCCGGACAAATTTCCTCACTTTTCGCACGTTTCCATGGCAACAGTAACCATTTTGAAACTGAGTCTGCACTGCACTAGTACAACTAGTGATCGTCTTTTGTAAAAAGTTTCAGGAAGATTGTGCCAGCCATCTGCGAAAAAATCCCTGGACACAGTTTTTAGGCGTACAATAGCAATATGTCGCCCGACTTTGTTCGGGGCGACATAACTTGTGATAATTGTAATGGGAACCGTTACAGATGTTCTCCAAACGGCTCCCCAATCTCTTATGATGCCCCATTCCCTTCAAGCTTCATTAAATAAGGCAATATTTTTGTAATATAGATGGACACTTTACAGGTATTTTATCGGAAAACTACTCCGATATAGCCAATCAAATTTCAGTGCATGTATTTGTATATATGTTTTCTATATTTTTCACATATATTTTCTTATAGTGTTTCACAATATTTACATTTGTGTTAAATGTTCAAGAATTTCATTGAAAAATAAAAGAGATGTAACCATTTAAGTATTAGCCAATCAAAATTCAGCACACACACACATCCATGATCTGCATTCAATTTTTATAGTATCATAATGCAGAAGCCTAGTGTGCCTATCTATGTTATAATTTTCATCCTGTTTTATTGAAAACCAAGGGAGTTATAGCCATTTAAAGTTTCAGCCAATCATTTTGCAGCACACCTGCATGCGCGTGTTTCAAGAAATTTCCTATATAACATGTTGTAGCACCTGATAATATATACTTATATTTTAAATATAAAATATAAGTATTTTGTCAAAAAACAAGGAAGTTATTGAGATTTTTGTATCAGCCAATCAGAGCGGAGCGCACGTGCATGTGCATGAGTTCATGCTAATTTGCCCATGTCATCTTGTCTAGACTACTAATGTATCTTTATATTCTGAGTTTCAAAGCAATCCATCAAGAAATATAAAAATAGAAAAGTAACGGCTTAATCAAGTATATCAGTCATTTCACTCATCGCATGCGCGCGCACGGCATGCATGTGCACGCAAAATGACCTTCGTTCAGCACACCTACACAACATGCCTATTAACCTTGAAAAGGTTTCATGTCGATCGGGTGAGTGGTCCTATGAAAAAACACGCGCGGACCAAAAAGTACCGGAGAATAAAGTAGAAAAAAAGAATAATAATATTAAGAAGAGGAAAGAGAGTAAAAACAATATGTTATCAAACTTCGTTTGGAGAACATTTCCAGGATGAAATTTTCTGGGTCTATCAGAAATTTAATTTTTGTTTTTAATCGGACGTGTCTTTGATGTATGAATGTTGTTTTTTAACAATGCGCACGAGGAAATGATCATATTAGTTACATGTAACTATATTTTCAAATTTCGTACCACATTGAAAAAAATTGGCCGACCAGGTGGAATTCTTTAGAGGCTGCATTGGCCTTTAAAAGTGTTTCAGGCACTTGATTATTAATTTCATATATTTAGAAAGCAAATGCAGACTCAAACATAAGGCTGTCATTTTATTCTTGCTTAAAAACGAGTGCATTTCCGTATCTAAAGTTCTGTATTTGATTCCAAAAATCAAAAACATTCCAAAAACCTTATTTATGCCTGCCTGCCCATATTCCATATAAGTAAGAAGACTCAACTCCCATATAAAGAATAAAAATGGTCATTTATTAAGGAGCACAAAGCATAAGAGCTGCAAAAAACATAATACCATATAAAAAAGTCGCATAAGAATATTACACCAAAATCAAGAACATGTGATGTGTTGCAACAGGTACAAAATACAACGACTCCTCCAATAAATGACAATAAATTAAAAAAAACCCATATATATATATATACATACAAAAACATTACAAAACTATAACCCAGTTGTATCCTGGGAAATGTACTGACTAGTAAAAATATTATGCAACAAAGTTTTGGCCATTGGAAGGACTAGATATAAAATATGTGCTAAACAAAGCAGTGACATGGGGTGTTCATCTGCCACCTTAACAAGGTAGGCTATATCTATCAGTTCTCTAACTGCTTTACCCTATAGGCTATCTTGTTAACGCCCCATATTCAACATCATATACAATGCATATGTACAAAGGGAAAGTAAGTGGTTGTGTACAAAATATGCAATTTATCGCTAACCTTATATTGGATGCTCAAATGTAGAGCTACTAAATCCTGTTTTTCTACCTCTACATAATAGACAGAATCGAGTTGTCTCATACACTCTGAGGTGATATATTCATGTATATCCATCACAACAAACGTATTGATTTTTTCCGCCTTCTTAATTACAATCCCAAGAATATCTTTATAAGGTTTTTCCAAAGGTCAAGATGTCCAAAAATTTATTTTTACAATAGCTCCAAAACTATGTGAGGTATAAAGTTAAAACTTTTACAGTTTATAAATATATCATTGATTAACAGATAGAAAATATCACTTAAAAACAAATATTTAAAAAAATATTTTTGAGAGAAAAAAAAAAAATCAAAAAAATTGCATATTTAAAAAAAAAAAATGCACATGCTTAATTATGTACCTGTAGTGAAAACCATCATTGAAAAAATGATATATGTTTATCAATGAAGGCCAAGTTGGAAGTGAGTGGTCTCTGAAAGGCTGTTATTGAAAGCATGACGTATAAAGACAAGACCCCTATAAAATCCGCCATTTGCAATGTACTTTCGGTTTCAAATCTTAACATTTGGACAAAATAAACAGGAAAAACACCTTTTCAGAGGCTATCGAAGTCCAACTTGCCCTTCATTGATAAACATATATTGTTTCTGCAATGATGGCTTTCACTAAAAGTACGGAATTAATTAGGTGTATTTTTTTAAAAAAAATATGCATTTATTTTTAAAAAGAACTTTTCTCGATAAATACTTTCCTTAAATATTTGTTATCAAGTGCTACTTTCTATCTGTTAATCAATGATATATTTATAAACTGTAAAAGTTCCTAAATATATAATTTAAAAAAAAAAAAAAAAAACTTTGAAGAGTTGAAAAAAGGGGTACCAAAGACTGGGGTCAAATACGTCAAAGGATCAGAGCTATTCATGAGGGAGATAATCCTTAATTTTGAAACAAATTTTAAAATCTTACCACAGCAATTAAATATCTGTATATATCCGTATTTTTAAGCTAGTACCGAAGTACTTAGCAACTGGGCTGTAGAGACCCTTGCGGACTAACAGTCCACCAGCAGGGGCCTCGACGAAGGGGTCATAATGTATATAAGGTACTAATTTTGATGCACCAGATGCGCATTTTGACAAATTTTGTCTCTTTAGTGATGCTCATGCCGAAAGCTTTGAAATAAAAAGATCTGAGAGTTCTCTTGCTTTAATATTGTATTCAGTACAGTCGACGATTGATTTTGGTTGAAATCACGTAATGAAAGAAGGGCGGTATATATGTACTTCTTCCAGAGATTCTGGTCAGAAAAGTAACCTATCAAGACAAGTATTTGGGGGGGGGGGGGATTTTTTAATTACCCAAAATGTTTTTACAATGATTTAAAACTACATTTACAGTTTCAATGTAAAGAAAGAAAACTTCAATGAAACGTCAATTCTATTTTATATTCTTATATAACTCTTCTCAAATAACAAAATCAAGATGGTTTATACTTTGGTGTTGTTAAAACGAAAAAGAAGACTACAAAATCAATTAAGGAACATGTTATGCTTACCTCTTACACAATATCCATTCCTACAGACCTTTCCTGCAGGACATATATGCTATAAAATGAAATATAATGTGTTTTATAGAGAATTAAGAATTAAATCCGGAAAGCTCAGTAAATCTTCAAGTGGTAAAGCACCACCTTATCTCTGGTTTTGTTTGTTACACTACCAATTAAAAGTATCTTGATGTGTTATTTTTTATGATAATTAAAAAAAAATTTTTCATATGCTTCAGTAAGTGACATGGTTTAAAATATGTTTCACCATTAGATATTGAAAGACAAAAAAGTGAAAATATTCGGGTTTCTTTTGCTGTGTTACATTAATCATAGAAGTTTTTCTATTACATACCCTATGGCAGTCTTCCAGGCCTGAAATGATAAAAGGTATTATTACTAAATCAGTTATGAATTCAATCCTGACATTCTTCTTCAATATTATTGTTTAAAACTTTTAACTCAAAATTTAATGACAATTGATATTAAAGGAGGCTGATTTTTTAATACATGTTTGTCTGTCTTAGTGATATATTAAAAGAAGTGATAATACATTTCAAATATATCTTTTACATAAACTGTTGCACATTAGGACAAGGAATTAGATTTTTAGATGGATATTCTAAAAATATATGGATTCTGAATTTTTTGTATTTTTTCACCAGCATAAAACACACAGAAATACATAAAGACAGGTATAAAGTTACGTAAAACAAATTTGAAAAAAAGGAAGCATTTCATTTCTACAAATTTGGAGAAAATTTCATTTTTCCAATTCCGCAAAAGGGTTAGTTACCTTTCCACAAAAATGAATAACTATTATTGTACCTAAGCACTACGTTTCCGCAATTTGCAATTTGCGTAGAGTGGCAAAGAAACTTTACGCTCTGTGTAAGGAATATAAATATGCGAAATATACAAAATACGACGTTGCCAGGATTAATTTTTTTTTAACTGTCGGGTACACATTTGGTGAGATGTCCTGTCACCAAATATATCCGAGGACGGCTGTGATAGTAATTATACAAGCATATATAACTTTTCATTTAGTTCTATAGCTAGGGTTTCATTTGTGTTAGGATAGATATTTTATGCACTATCATTTTATGTTTTAATCTAACAGATATTTGGGTTTTCCCACAACAACAAATAGACTTTATTATTATCCTCACATGGAAGTGGGGGTCTCATTTTGTGAGCTCAGTGCCTCTAGTTTGCAAAGATTTAATGGATAAAAAAAATCAAATTAGGAGAACACATTTTTACGGCACCCAAGTTTCAGCAAATTGATCTTTCCTTTCCGCAAAAATAAGTTATGATTCTGAAAACATTTCTTTACTATTACGCAAAAGGTATTACATTACGATTCCGCAAATATGTACCTTGGATCACAAGCACAAGGTAAAATTTATATAAAATATATTAATAAATTAACATTATAACATGCATGATAAAACATCGAACACCTGTAAAATGACACTTGTGAAAAATAGCACTCACTTCGTAGCACTATATGAAATGCACGTATGAAATTAATATGAAAATCTGTATAATGGCACTATGTAATGAAAATACCTCAGAAGTCTCATTAAATTTTGTTCAGTGGTATAGGAGGAGTTGCTGATAGGCGAAGGATACCCCCAATGTTATAGAAAGAAAGGCAATGTCAAGGATTTGCAATGGAAAACCCCAAATATCTGTCCGATCAAAACCAAAAATAGTAGGTGCACAATGGCACTACCTATGTAAGAAAGATTCTGTGAAAGACATTTAATTTTATTCAGTGGTATAAAATTAGTTGTTGACAAAAGAAGGATTCCCCCAATTTTGTAGAAAGAAAGACAATGTTCAGGTTTTGCTATGGGAAACCGCAAATATTTGTCCAATCGAAACAAGAAAAGCGAGGTGCACAAATGGTACAATGTAATAAAGATTCATTGAGAGTTTCATTAAATTTTGCTCAGTAATAGAGAAGAGGTTGCAGATGAGAGATTGGTACCCCAAAGTGTTATGGACGTACGGACAAACATCCCCATAACTATATACCCCCAGTTTTTTTAAGCGGGGAAATTATAAAGGTTTTTAGAGAGGGATTAGCGAAAATAACGACATTCCGTGTTCAATTGTTATTTGATTTTAATAACGATGTAATGAAAGTCACAAAAGTCACACAGTTTAATGAATTGAAATTCAATTGCAAAGCCATAAATATGATAAGATTTCTTCCATATTCAAAGTTTCTTAAACATGCTATATATCTATGAAAAGTTACTTTGAACTACTATATTCATTTAAGAATTGCAATGAAAGATGATTTTTTTTTATTTCAATGGTCTTATTACTACAATGTTATTTCTTCACACTAAACAATTTGCTTTTATAAAAGTAAAACTATAACTTCTGCAACTAGACTTTTCATTGACTATTTGTGAATTTAAGCGCCAAATTGGGTAACTGTTTTAATTAGAATCTTCATGCAAAAATTGGCAAATAAAAGATTAAAAGTTGGTAATTTTCACTCTGGCGTATTTTATGTAACTTTTTAAATCAATGTTGTCCTTTTTAAATTTCAGTGGACAGTGTATTCGTATCACTGAAAGCAACAGGATATCTCACACATCTATGGAAATCCGCCATTTGCAATGCACTTTCGGTTTCCAATCTTAACATTTGGACAAAATAAACAGGAAAAACACCTTTCCAGAGGCTATCGAAGTCCAGCTTGCCCTTCATTGATAAACATATATTGTTTCTGCAATGATGGCTTTCACTAAAAGTTCTGAATTAATTAGGTGTATTTTTTGAAGACATATGCATTTCTTTTTAAAGAATTTTTCTCGATAAATACTTTCTTTAAGTATTTGTTATCAAGTGATACTTTCTATCTGTTAATCAATGATATATTTATAAACTGTAAAAGTTCCTAAATATATAATTAAAAAAAAAATTAAAGAGTTGAAAAAAGGGGTACCAAAGACTGGGGTCAAATACGTCAAAGGATCAGAGCTATTCATGAGGGAGATAATCCTTAATTTTGAAATAAATTTTAAAATCTTACCAATTAAATATCTGTATATATCCGTATTTTTAAGCTAGTACCGAAGTACTTAGCAACTGGGCTGTAGAGACCCTTGCGGACTAACAGTCCACCAGCAGGGGCCTCGACGAAGGGGTCATAATGTATATAAGGTATTAATTTTGATGCACCAGATGCGCATTTTGACAAATTTTGTCTCTTTAGTGATGCTCATGCCGAAAGCTTTGAAATAAAAAGATCTGAGAGTTCTCTTGCTTTAATATTGTATTCAGTACAGTCGACGATTGATTTTGGTTGAAATCACGTAATGAAAGAAGGGCGGTATATATGTACTTCTTCCAGAGATTCTGGTCAGAAAAGTAACCTATCAAGACAAGTATTTGGGGGGGGGGATTTTTTAATTACCCAAAATGTTTTTACAATGATTTAAAACTACATTTACAGTTTCAATGTAAAGAAAGAAAACTTCAATGAAACGTCAATTCTATTTTATATTCTTATATAACTCTTCTCAAATAACAAAATCAAGATGGTTTATACTTTGGTGTTGTTAAAACGACAAAGAAGACTACAAAATCAATTAAGGAACATGTTATGCTAACCTCTTACACAATATCCATTCCTACAGACCTTTCCTGCAGGACATATATGCTATAAAATGAAATATAATGTGTTTTATAGAGAATTAAGAATTAAATCCGGAAAGCTCAGTAAATCTTCAAGTGGTAAAGCACCACCTTATCTCTGGTTTTGTTTGTTACACTACCAATTAAAAGTATCTTAATGTGTTATTTTTAATGATAATTAAAAAAAAAAATCTTTCATATGCTTCAGTAAGTGACATGGTTTAAAATATGTTTCATCATTAGATATTGAAAGACAAAAAAGTGAAAATATTCGGGTTTCTTTTGCTGTGTTACATTAATCATAGAAGTTTTTCCATTACATACCCTATGGCAGTCTTCCAGGCCTGAAATGATAAAAGGTATTATTACTAAATCAGTTATGAATTCAATCCTGAAATTCTTCTTCAATATTATTGTTTAAAACTTTTAACTCAAAATTTAATGACAATTGATATTAAAGGAGGCTGATTTTTTAATACATGTTTGTCTGTCTTAGTGATATATTAAAAGAAGTGATAATAATTTTTAAATATATCTTCTACATAAACTGTTGCACATTAGGACAAGGAATTAGATTTTTAGATGGATATTCTAAAATTGTATGGATTCTGAATTTTTGTATTTTCTACCAGCATAAATCACACAGAAATACATAAAGACAGATATAAAGTTACGTAAAACAAATTTGAAAAAAAGGAAGCATTTCATTTCTACAAATTTGGAGAAAATTTCATTTTTCCAATTCCGCAAAAGGGTTAGTTACCTTTCCACAAAAATGAATAACTATTATTGTACCTAAGCACTACGTTTCCGCAATTTGCAATTTGCGTAGAGTGGCAAAGAAACTTTACGCTCTGTGTAAGGAATATAAATATGCGAAATATACAGAATACGACGTTGCCAGGATTAATTTTTTTTTAACTGTCGGGTACACATTTGGTGAGATGTCCTGTCACCAAATATATCCGAGGACGGCTGTGATAGTAATTATACAAGCATATATAACTTTTCATTTAGTTCTATAGCTAGGGTTTCATTTGTGTTAGGATAGATATTTTATGCACTATCATTTTATGTTTTAATCTAACAGATATTTGGGTTTTCCCACAACAACAAATAGACTTTATTATTATCCTCACATGGAAGTGGGGGTCTCATTTTGTGAGCTCAGTGCCTCTAGTTTGCAAAGATTTAATGGATAAAAAAAATCAAATTAGGAGAACACATTTTTACGGCACCCAAGTTTCAGCAAATTGATCTTTCCTTTCCGCAAAAATAAGTTATGATTCTGAAAACATTTCCTTACTCACACAGTTTAAAGAATTGGAATTCTATTGTATAGCCATAAATATGATAAGATTTCCTTCATATATTCTAGGTTTCTTAAACATGCTATATATCTATGAAAAGTGACTTTGAACTGCTATATTGATTAAAGAATTGCAATGAAAAATGTTGTTTTTTTTTTTTTATTTCAATGGTCTGACTACTACAAAGTCATTTCTGCAACACTAAACAATTTGCTTTTATAAAAGTAAAACTATAACTTCTGCAACTAGACTTTTCATTGACTATTCGTGAATTTAAGCGCCAAATTGGGTAATTGTTTTAATTACAATCTCCATGTAAAATTGGAAAATAAAAGGTTAAAAGTTGGTAATTTTCACTCTGGCGTATTTTATGTAACTTATTGATCAATGTTGTCCTTTTTAAATTTCAGTGGACAGTGTATTCGTATCACTGAAAGGAACAGGACATCTCACACATCTATGAAAATGAAATTTTATACTCACCATCTATGCATCTTCCTCTACTACATACTTGTCCATTTGGGCAGGGTCGAAACTAAAACACGGAATAAAAATGTACGTTTTCATTGGCCAGAAGGCAGTTTATCACCCCAAGACAGCAAATTTTCCTTGATGCACAGCCGAAGGAACTAGTTACTGTCAAGCGATGAAAATTTGCTATTGACCACACACAGAGTAAACTTTTTCTATTTATTTAGTATTGAAAATACCCGTTAAAAAACACACAGTGTTGTATACTTCAAAGTATGTGAATCTATTAGAACATTCAAACAGCTAATATTTCTCAGGGGTTAACCTTATATATATGTATAACTTACCAGTCCACAGCTTGTCACAGTGTCTGAAATATATGAAATAATTTCATTATTTTTATTCAGCATAAATAGTATTCCAAAATCCCGTATTTTAAGAAATCCCTTGATTATTATCTTTTTTTCAAATGTCAAATGAATATAGAAAAAGGGTGTGATTTTTTATTGAAAAGTGGGAGAAACTGCAATGGTTTGCGTAAGCTGCAAAACATATTATATTAGAATTTTATGAAGATTAAATTATATTTAAATGAATGTCTCTGCGTAAGCAATTGGGCTTGAATCTTCATCTGAATGGAATTAATCTCATAATATTATTCCAGATATTCCGTTTAGCTCATAATGTTAACTAATTGTAAAAGGTACAAATACGAACAGTGATCAATTTATTTCTTTGTTTATCTAAATCTAAAGTAAAGAATTTTATTCAAAAAGAACATAACTTGCACGATTTCAATGATCCCCCCCTCTCTCTCTCTCTCTCATTTTACATACCTAAGGTACAGTATCCCTGTCGACAGGTACCATATTCACAGTCCCTATCCTACAATAATTCGATATTAATTTTTATTGAAGTGATATTCAATTTTTTTTTTAGCAGGAAAATGAAACACAACCAAAATCTTTTTCTCAGAGACCCTTGATAAATATTTTGTACTCGTATTGTCATTAGTGATTTTTAAAATGATACTCTTGAGTATCAAATAAATATAATTTGTTTTGTATTTGATATATATAGCATAGTCTTTATTGTACCGCTTATTTAATCTATTCATATTCCAGGAACTTAAGTGATACTGTTTTAATGATCTTAATGTAGTGTGAGATCTTTTCTTTACTAAGATGAAAAAGAAAAACCATATTATAAAACCTCTTGGATTTTTTTTTATAATTTAATTCCTAGTATATCCTGTGATCAAAAACTGGAGAAAAAATTACCCCAGTGGCAGGTATTTTTAAAATAAATTTTTCAAGGTAAGTGGTAAGGACTAAATAAATCTCTATTTAAAACTTTATTCTAAAAGGAGACTTAGTGGAGCGGATAGTTGAAAAAATATTTGACTTTGTGAGACGAGCACCAAATTAAGCACGAATGTTCCTTGTCCGGTACCTGAATAGGAAATATCATTGGCTATTCAAGTTTCGGCCATTTAAATTACAGGTTGTTGTTGTTTATAGTACTCGTAAGACCTAATCTTCGGAGCAGTCACAGCTGCATATGCAGTACAAGCTAACAGTACTCTTATCTGAAACATTTGCAGTTTCCCATACAAGTAATTGCTCTGTGACGGTACATATTGTCGTTCATCGGTACATATTGTCGCCGGCGACAATATGTACCGAGACGAGCCATTTTTCCTCCTGTATAATGGACGACAAAATGTACAGTCAGGCATCGGCACATTTTGTCGTCGGCGACAATATATACTGTGAACATTTGCACATTTTGTCGCCGATAAATTGTGTTGAAGAATATTTATTAAGGTCGTGAAGAGAGAGAGAGAGAGAGAGAGAGAGAGAGAGAGAGAGAGAGAGATTGACACTCACAAACACACACCCACACACTGAGGCAGACATGTAGACAGAAGGATAGAATTGTATGGTAGATAAATAAGTAAACAAGTTGTATTATTTAGCATTACTCGAGGGAGAAAAGGTTTAGGTCAAAAATTGTGTCCAGGATTGGTGTTTATCACTATGATATTTCAAGATTCCGTAATTCTTGAGATATAAATCAGGCTATTCTTTATCTCTTTATATATATACTTGGAGATCTAATTTTTTTTTTATTCAATAGTAATGATTATCTGGAAATTATTTTTTGCGTTATTCTTATACATATGCCTATATAATCGATGTTGGGCTTGACATTTTCTGGTCACATTTTGTCTGTCGTCCGTCTGTACGTCCGTCTGCTTGTAATCTTTTCACATCTTCAGCTTCTTCTCAAGCACTACGTGGGCAATTTCAACCAAACTTGCCACAAAGCATCCGTGGATAAAGGGGATTCAAGCTTGTTCAAATGAAGGAAAGTTGTTAAAAAGTAGTGAAAATTTAGTCGACATCTCGAAATCCTCTCACAGGGCCGTCAGTCTCTCTGATTTGGGTCAGATAAATGGACCCTTCCCAACTGGGAACCCGCCGCCCCCCCCCCCCCCAAAAAAAAAAAAAAAAAAAAAAAAATTCCCAATTTACTTATCCAGAAATTCTCAATATCACCAACTGTATGTTGTGTGTATAAAAACATTAAACTGTGTTAGTTTAAAACCTAATTGAACTTACTCTGTTGTTCTTGTCTTTACCTTAGAACAATCAATTCATGTTTTTTATAGTTTTTTAAATCATTGTATGAAAGTAAAATTTCCCAATTTGATACAAAACGTCGATAATTTTTCCAATCTAGTAGGACCGGGACCCTGTATCGAAAAAAGGACTATTGGGTCAAAAGAGATGACACTTATGTGAAAGCTTCATTACATGTTGTACGTTCAGTTTTGTAGGTGCTGGCACAAAAAAGATCCCTTTCTGCTCAATGGCCCTGAGTGCCAGTATAGGTTTAAATTAGCAGCCCTCCACCTGCAAGTTGTGGCGTCTCCATATGAGTGAAAAATTCTCGAGAGGGATGTTAAAACAACAAATAAACAAACAAAATCAAAATCAGTTTCGTTCAAATCATATTCGTCAGGGGTGGGGTGAGGCCACAATGGGTGATCAAAATATTACAAAGGAACATTTAAAGAAAAATCTTCTCAAAAACCAATGGCGGATCTAGCACCGGCGCACCCCCCCCCCTCCCTCTCCCTTTCGTTTGATTTTTTTTTTATGCTTTTGTTATTCTGTTTGTTTAATTTGTATATACTCTCAATTTGACCACAGGTAAACTTTCGTATTAAATAATTACTTAACATATACTGTAACACACCTTTACACACAAATGACCCCCCGGTTCTGAAATTTCTGGATCCACCACTGAGAACAGGAGTAGGCCTGTGATTAGTGATTTTTATTTGGATGCATCCTCAGATAGTGTAGATTCAAGTATCTTCAAATCATGACCCCCGGGTCTAGGGTGGGGCAACAATGGGCGATCAAAGTTTTACATAAGAATATAAAGGGAAATTCTTTAAAACTTTTCGTCTCAAAAACAGCAAAGCAATGATTAATTTTATTTATATGGAAGCATTGCCATGAATTGCCATGCGACATGTAATGAAAGACGACAATATGCGCAGTGAGGGTAGGTACACATCGTCGGCGGCGACAATATAAACAGGACGACAAAACGTACCGTTACACTCACGCTGAATGAAATAGCACACGAGACACGTCAGTGTGATTAACACTCCAATTACGTTAAAAAAAATACCAAAAAACAACAAAAAATCTTTAAGCAGCAATATCTGTGGTGCGACAATATGTGCAGTGAGGGTAAGGCACATAATGTCGCCAGCGACAATATATACATGTGTAACTTTTCAACCGGTGACAAAATGTACTGACGGACGACAATATGTGCAGTGAGGGTACGCCGACGACAATATGTACAAAACAACGATATGTACTGTCACAGGCTACCATTGGTGCCAAAGATATCCCGTGTGGGACCCAAACTCCGCTACCTTTTTCACGTATTGCTTAAAAGGTGAAAGTAAAATTTGCGACTTCCATACCGGATATTTCTATGTATGATCTGCTTCCATCACATATCCGTTGATACGCTCAATCAGAAGAGCCCTTCAGAGGAGAAATGCCATCAAAGGAACCCTGTTTAGGGTAAAGATGTCAAGAAAGACGGATTTAGGTTGGTGTAGAATATTCTGGTTTTGGCTTTCTCTGACGTTGCTATAGACTTCAATGCTGATCTTAGCATTGCAAAAGCCTGCATTCCTTTGCTTACTTTAACTTAAATATTTATATCAGTTCCTCAGTTTTGTTCTTGATACTACCTTGATAAAAAAATTGATTGACCTCTTCTATATCATCTTCTTCGAATGTTACATTTCCTCCATTCTTGTTCATGACCCTTATTAACTTTATTTTCTTGGTATACATCTTTAACTTCATTTTACCCTGTTTCCTTTGTCATGTGTGTAAGAGTTTTATATAGAAGTAGAAGTTCAGATCTGAACCGCAAAGTTCAGATCGTGTTTTTTCTATAACTGAAGGGGCACTGAATTCCTCTTGTACTTTTATTAAGGGTTGTCTTGTTACCCAGCCGACAACTATCAGGAATAGTGTTGGTACATGTACCTTGTTTAATCCCAGTTTTTACAATAAGAGTTTGTTTATGAATTATTTGTACTGTTAACTTCGTATCATTTTATCAATGTTAAATGGGATTCCATTATGTCAATAATAGTTTCCACAAAACTCTTGGCTATTGATGATCTCATATCCTTTTTTTTTTCAAAATCGTTGAAGTTGATATAAAGACGGTTTAGAATCTTGTTTGCTACATAACTCAAAATGCCTCCGCACTTTTTTGCAGAGGTTAAGATTTCCTTCCTATATGTTGTTGACAATTAGTCCCCTCTTACACAAATGATCGATTCTCTCTCTGGTTGTCATAGTTTGTTTCAGAGTCCATTCATTTATTTCAAAATGCCCAAAGTATGATAAATATTACAGTAAATTGTTCTTATTTTGAGAAATTGCGATGGACTACGATGATTTTAGAAACAGTATTATCTGACTGATACTTATGTCAAATTTCATTCTTGTCTCTACAAGTGAAATGTTTGGGTGAAATTTAACTGTTAGTCGCTACACGTATTAAGTTGGAAAAAATGGGTTAAAATTTGTAAATCCCTTGCCCTTCATGTCCTTGCAAAATATTTTTTTTCGTATATATATATATATATATTGATTTGTCGAAGTTTCTCACTGAGATATTTGAAAAGAATATAAACCCAATCTATTTTGCTGCTATTTCAGGCACTATAGTATTTAAGTGCTTTCACAGTTTATGCGTCAATGCTGTGTTACGTGGTTTTGATCTAATTATCTTAGCTGTGATTTGTAAATATATTTGATAATTAGAGGTTTTAATTTTGGTAAAAGTTCTCCTATATTTCGTTTATCAAATGATTGACACAGCAATGACTAAAGCAAGATAAAGCACTTAAGTTGTATCTATGCGAGGTTAAAATACGGCTTATGTTCATTTATGTGATTACAAATCAATACCAAAATAGAAGACAGAAATTGTTGATGATCTTACCGTGAAACAGAGCCTATAATCATCTTCAGCACCCACAATGGACCACAACACTACCACGATACTCAAGTACAACACTAACATTTTGGTACTATAAAATAGGAAGAAGTTTACTAAATAAATAGGGAATTTCGTATATTGTTATAGAATTACTTTTTAAGCGGTTAGCGTATACGCTTATCGCTTATTGTCATGTAACCAAAGGTCTTACGCAACTTTTGTCGACACCGGAAGCTTCGTTAAAGTGCTACATGTACCTATGCGACACCGGAAGCTTCGTCAAAGCGCTACTTATGATCTGTTTACCATCGCTACCTCTACTGCCTTTCTGACTCTGACAGGCTAATACCCGAGATAATCACTCGGCTTGAATTTTAGGGGTTACCTGCAGAGTATAAACTCGTCGGTAAATCCTGCAATCGTGATTTATAGTTAATGTTTATTTCTGGGAGTTGAACGATTTTCTATAAATTATATAGCACAACTCATGAACAATTTGTAGACGACCATAATTATTTGACCTAATTATGCCGATGGACACTGGATGGACGGGTTCATCGCTGACTAAAGGGGTTGAAGGTTATTACCGACGAGACTCTCTTATGAGTTTACACCAACGTATTTAGAGATACCTTTTATTAAGTGAAGTGATATATGAAAAAATAGCTTTTATCAAAAGCATTAAATTCATTTAAGTTTTTTGTAAATTGTACAACTGTTTTAATAGAAACAATGGAATTACTTTCATAATAAAAAGTTATTTCTTCTCTAATTAAAAGATTATAAAAAGTTTAGCACACAGTGGTACATTCTGTACTCTTTTTTATTACAATCAATCATAAACGATCACATACTTTTATTTTTGGAAAAAATAAATATTTTATGGGAGACTGAAAATAGTAAAATTAATTAAAAAAAAATAGAAAACTGAAAATAGTAAAATTAATTTTAAAAAAAAAAAATAGAAAACTTGCATATAAAAACTTTAATCAGCATTGTGATCCTCTTCTAAAATTCACCAACCTTTATATAATGTGCAAAGATTTAGCTTAGAAAGTTTTAAAAAAGATGATGAAAGAGTCATAAAAAAAAAAAAAATCTTGGGAATTAACAAAGATTTTCAATAATAGTTAATTATTATTTGAAAACTTGCTAAATGTCTTTTGAAAAAAAAATATGTAAGTTGTAAATATATTTTAAATTTGTTCAAACTGTTAATTAGGATTTTTATTTTGAATCTTTGAGAATAGAAATGAAAATACAGGTGATCGATAGAAATTTACATACGTTATTCATAAAAAATGTCAATGTAAATTGCTCTGCTGACATATTAATTTGAATATTAAAGTAAGTGGCGTTGTTAACTGGATAATTCTTGCGATTGACAAATAAACTGTTCATCAAACAATGACTTTAAGTGTACATGTGAAATAATAAATACTAGTATAGTTGGATTAGACAACAACTTTACTTTTCACACGTTTTCTTTGATATCAAGAGTAATGCATGAAAAGTATGCGCCAAATACTGAGTATCTGTCCCTATATATATTGTGCAAGACCCTTGTTTTATTTTAAATGATTGTCATATATACTTTTTACTCGTTTGAACATTTAAATTGTTTGCATGGTCAAATATTTACATTTCGTAAAACTTGATTATCTAGTTTACTTGTCCGTCTTCCAGTGAGTACCGTAGTAGCACATAATATTAAGCAAAAGTACTCAGTGCCTCAAAAATACAGAATCCCGATGATGAACTTCAACATTTAAATGTATAAGGATATGATAACGAACAGTGATCGATCTCAAAATATCAACAATATGAACAATACAAATATGTTAAGATGGCATAAAACACGGACCCCTAAAAATTCCAGAGGTGGGATCAGGTGCCTTGGAGATGTAAGCATCCGAAGTTGACCGGTCACTTCCGCCGTGAGCCCTGTGTAAAGTTTAAATTTATAGTGTAGTTGTTTGTTTTAATTCAACTAGTTTACCTTTTCTTCAAATTATAGCTACAGAACTGAAGCTCTCCTACAAAAAAAAAAAAAAAAAAAAAAAAAAAAAAAAAAAAAAAAAAAAACTGAAAAAATTTCTTTCTTTATCCCATTTTTTTTTTCAGACCAGCGAGCTAAAGATCTGCAGGTACTCCAAATTCATAAATCTTAAAATTTTGAATTATCAAAAATTTTTTCCTTTTAAATTCTGTCCTAGAAACCTAACAATTACCTGAATTCAGAAACCATAGAGCAGGACAGATAAATCTACATCAATTTCCCTTCCTTATCCTGAGCACTTCCGGTCGCCACCGAAAGTGAATTTTAAAAATTGCACTTTTGTCTTTCAAACTCAAGAAATCACATTTTGATATTTTTAAACATGCATTTATGGTATCAATCGATCAAAAATGATGTCTTGGTGTACGAATGGGATGTTATTGGTTTTGTCATTTAGTAAAATATTCCAAGTTCGGTATGTCTGCTTCCTCTCTGATGACATTGATCAAAAACTATACGTACTTAAAAATCATTTCATGCATTTTTTTTTTAAATCTTAGAGCATGCTAACTGTTTTTCATTAATTTCAGTACTTTGATTGATAAAGCTTACAGTGTTCATTGGCTAAAAAGGTATTTTAAAAATGAATCCCTGTTTAAACCCCTTGAAGAAGAGGAATCAAAAGATAAACTTAAATAGTCTCAATCAGAGTTAGATTTTTTAGCAATGCCCAGGTGGCATACTTTAAAAAAAAATGAAACAAATAATTCTATATAAAGAAAACAATGAAGTGTTTTCTTGTTTTGGGTGAAATATTGGATAGAAATTTTAAAAAAAAATGTCAAGTGATATAATCAAAATTAAATTTCAAATAAATTAAAATTAACCTAAACCGAGAAATCTTTAAAATGGGCTTACATTTATTTAAGGTCAAGATCTAGTGAATGAAGGTGCCCACAGGTTTCTCAAAATTGAGTTAGTTACGCATTCTTTTAATGATCCTTTACAAATATAGCTTGGCAAAATAAGGTGTATCAAGATATAATTTTTAGGTAATCTCACCGGAAAACCATATTTTAAACTGTCGTTTTGAATGAAAAATGAAGAAAGTCTGGTATAAATATGGGTGGTTTTTTTTCCATCTCCGACAAAGGAAATGTATAAATATTGCCTACAGTTTCTCAGAAAACGATATTTTTTATATCTTCTCGACCTCTTCTTTGAATTATATTAAATGCAATAAAGGTATCGGGGTTAGTTTGACTTGATTTCAAATTGAGTTTCATGAAAATGTGTCATTTTCTACAGAAACGTAGCCCTAGAGTACGAGGAAAAGTACGTGTAAATCAATTATGACGTCAAAGTGGTTCTAGCACCAAAAAGATAGTCTAAACTCATTTACTGATGACCTTATTTTTATTATTATTATTATTATTTTATTTATTTATTTATTTTTTTTTTTTTTTTGTGGTATTTTAACAAAGACAAATGATCGTTTCGAGTCACATTGAAGATGGACTCACTGATGTTATGAGTTTTGAATATACTAACCATAATTTTACATTTACGTTTTCATTGTTAGACACAGGAAGCAAGCTATTATGCTAAGAACTGGGGAAGAAAATCTGATATATACATAAATAACAATATATTAATTAAGATTTACACATAAATTACAATAATAGGGTGATTAATTTATCATACAATAAAGTTAATGTCCTAGCACTTTGTTATAGTCCACTTAATATAAAATGCAAAATAAATGTAAAATTATTAAATAATATTTCTAGGCAACTAAAAAAAAAAACAATTGCACATACTTTACCTTACTGTAGATCCAAACAACTTTACTAAATGACAAGTTTAACCTCTTATATATATGCATATGTGTAACTCATTTTATTGCGTAAGAAAAGGCAAAAAAGAAGCGTTCCAATTAATGATTTGATAAATTGGGAGCTGAACAGAATATGTTAAATAAAGTATTCATCTGAATTTGTGGAAGTATTGTTAGTGCATGCTTCGATTGCAGAGATTTTTTTTCTCCCTTTTTTACAGCCACAATGGAAATAAGCACTTATTCAACGCCTTTGACTTATTTTGGAGCTAGAAAAGATATGATTTTCAAACTAATTTATGCAAAGTATTATATTATTTTCATATCCATCTGTGGGTAGCAAAGTTTGGGCAGGAACCATTTTTAAGATGTCAATGGAACTAAAGCCTAAAGCGTAAAAAAATTGTGCTAATTGTGACAGGAACCGTTTCAGATGTTCCCCAAACACTCCCCTACTCCCTTATGGGCCCCATTCCCTACAAACGTCAGTAAATTAGGCAGTTCTTTTGTGTAATAAATCTATACTTTATTTTCAGAAGTATTTAATTGAAAAAAAAACAAAAAAACAAAAAAACAAACAAACAAAAAAAAAAAAAAAAAAAAAAAAAAAAAAAAAAAAAAAAAAAGCCGATATAGTATCTTTGAGTATTGGCCAATCTGATTTCAGAGGAGGTGCATGCCCATGTTTTCTAGATATTCCACGTCTTCCTTGTAAAGAGACTCACAATAAATACCTATGTAAGATATCTCAAACATTTTCATTGAAAACTATGAAAGATACAGCCATATAAGTAATAGCCAATCAGAATCCAGCATACATGCATGTTTGTTCTTGCATTCAATTTTGATAGAAGCACAATGTAGGAACCCATTATACCTATCTTTATTCTAAATTTCATCGTTTTCTGTTGAAAACTAAGAAAGTTACAACCATTTAAAGTTTAAGCCTATCAAATTGCAGCACACGTGAATGGAAGCATTTTCACGATATGTCATATATATATGTCATAATGTAGAAGCACCTTATGTATGACTATGTTTTAAATATCAAAGTATTTCGTCAAAAAACAAGAAGGTTTTTGAGATTTTTTTTTTTTGCTTCAGCCAATCAGAGCGAAGCACACTTGCATGCGCGTGCTTTCTTGCTAATTCAACCACCTCATCCTGTCTTCTCAATGAATGCATGTTTATATAATAAGGTTCAAAGGATATCATCAAAAATAGGAAGGTTAAAGCTGTTTCAATTGTATC